CCCCAAGCCATTTTCCTCAGGCCATCGTAACGGCGCCTGAGGCTTGATGGGAGGAACCACGATGTTCCCGCCCACCACCTCTTAGTGGCCACAGGAAACCTGCCCGCCCACCCACTGCACACCCATTGGCTGGAGAGTGGTCGAGACACGCCCCGACAAGCGCCTGCTCAGAGGGAGGAGCCAGAGGGGCACCTGCTGGCTCCTTGGGTGGCTGCGGCGTCCCTGTCTTTCCCGAGGGGGGTTCACTAACGGCTGGGTCCCATCCCACAGAGGCTGAGGAGGAGAAGCAGGAGGCGAGTCCCTGAAGAGACGCTGTGCCCTGAGAGCTTCCCTTACTGAGGAGGCCTCGTGCTTCATCTGTCACAAGTGGTGCTCAGGCCAGTGGTGACAACGAGGACGATGCTCAGGCTTCTGAGATTTGCTTTGGCCCTCTTCCGGAGAAGGGCAGACCCCGCAGAGCGGCAGGGTCCACAGCAGCAGGGTCTCCCACAAGGTATTCCTCTGCGTGTCCCCCTGTTTCCCACCCTAGAAGCCTCCCAATAGGGGTTCTCCTCACCCCTGGAATGAGGCTGTGGCGACTGGGGCGGGGACAGCAATTGATGGCGGCTCCATCTTCTGTGCGTGTATGGGGAGGTGTCCCGAGTCCCCAACGGGCTCCTGAGAGCCAGCCCCCAAACTCTCCTGTCCATCTAAAGCGGGAAGGTGTTGACAGAGAAGACCTTGGGGGGCTGTACCGCCTGTGCTTTTCCCCCACGTCGTGTAGCACATGCTTATTTATATTTCCAGTAGGCGAGAAACTCCCTAATTCGCGAATGAATTTAGGCTTATATCCCAAACGGGAGTGTAATTTGAAGCCAAGTGGACGTCTCATGCATATCTGATCCCGTTGGAGGGCAGAGGAGGGCAGAGAACCCGTTGCGCGGGCAGACTGCAGAAGTCAGATCCCTAAATATTGCTTATCAGCTATGCTTGCGTAGAATTAATTAAAGAAGGAGAAGGAGAAGGAGAAGGAGAAGGAGAAGGAGAAGGAGAAGGAGAAGGAGAAGACCATTCGGATGCCCTTTGGGACTAGCCTTCAATCTCCAGAAAGCTTTTAGTGCTTTGTCTGCCGAGATGGTTAAGTATCTATAGGAGGTGCTACTCATGTTGGTGACAACGACAAGGGGATATAACAGGAGCAGAAGCTTACAGACTCTCATATGTAGATAAGGTGATAACAGGTAACATTTTCACTCTCTTGTGCAAAGCACTCACAGCTCTCGACAGTTGATGTGCATGTGTCAGTTAATATTCACAAGCCAGATGCGGTGGCTCACGCCTGTAATCCCAGCTCTTTGGGAGTCCCAGGCAGGTGGATCACTTGAGGCCAGGAGTTCGAGACCAGCTTGGTCAACATGGCGAAACCCCGTCTCTACTAAAAGTACAAAAATTAGCCGGGCGTGACAGCACGCACCTGTAATCGCAGCTACTCGGGAGGCTGAGACATGAGAACCCCTTGAACCCGGGAGGCAGAGGTTGCCGAGCCAAGATCACGCCACTGAACTCCAGCCTGGACGACAGAGTCAGACTCTGCTCAAAAAATAAAAAATTAATTAAAAATTAAATTTTTAAAAAAATTTAAAAAAAAATTTTTTTAGACTTAGAGAAAACCTACAACAACCCTATTAGGTGAAATTGTGATTGTTGTGGATTGACAGATGAAAACAAGTTCAGAGACATTTAAAAAACTTCTCTGCCCAGGCTTATGCAGATGGTGGGCATAAGTCTTATTTGCAGTAGGTGTTTGCATTTGAGGCTAATAATGTGAACTTTGTTTCTTTATCTTGTAGGTGAGCCCCAGTTGAAAACTGTGCAGGGAGTTGTCACAAGTTTCTGTGGTGATTATGGTGTGATTGATGAGTCGATCTACTTCAGTTGTGATGTTGTGACTGGCAATGAGCCTCTAAAAGTTGGACAGAGAGTTACTGCGGTTGTGGAAGAAGATAAAACACTTTATGGACTGAGAGCAATCAAGGTGAGATGTGCATGAGTTTGGGAATGGTGTCTTATCCCAATGGGCTTTCTTTCTCCATCTTTCTTTTCTTGTATTAATCCAGCATCTCTACTGTGACCCGTAGAGTGGATGTAGACTGCAATTTAAGTCCCACTCCTGTGAAGCTGTAGGTTCTTCTGTTCTAATATTTGTAGTGATTCCTGCTTTAAAACATAAAAATTACTTATCTATTCTTCTAGTCTTTAAACAATATGGGTAACAATAACAATCACTGAACTCTATATAATCCTGCAACTTCCTTTATCAGGGACAAAAAGCATTTTCTGAGGTGTGCATTCCTAGCGATGGAATTGCTATGTCAAACCATGTGCCTTGTAAACATTTTAAAAAGAGCTTCATGCAGGTATAATTCACAAACCACAAAACTCTCTTAAGGGTACAATTCAATAGCATTTTCCAGATTATGTGACTTATATCTCAATAAGGCTGTAAAAGAATGAAAGACATAAAGCAAAGCAGAAAGATGGTACCAGAGGAAATACTACAAGGGCTTCCATAAACAAACTTTCCTATTAAAAAAATCTACGAATTAGATTAGACCTAATTAGAATTAGACCTTCATATTTGCTTCATATATTTAGGTGCTGCTATGTTGGGTGCATATTTGTGGAAATCATTATATCCCCTTGATGAATTGACCCCTTCATCATTATATAATGATCATCTTGGTTTCTTTTTCCAGGTTGTGGTTTAAAGTCTATTTTATTTGAAATCAGTTGAGCTGCTCCTGCTCTCTTTTGGTTTCCCTTTACGTGGAAGAATAACTTTTTGCATGCCTTCACTTTCAGTTTACAGTGTCCTTTAGGGAGAAGTGGGTCTCTCACAGTTTTGTTGTTGTTGTTTAATCCATTCAGCTACTCTGCGTATTTTAGTTGGGAATGTTGTCATTTAGGTAATTGTTTTCTACTTAGTTTGCAGGTAATTTCTTCCTTTCTTCCTCTTTTACTGTCTTCCTTGATGGATAAGAGATTTTTCTCTATTAGTATGTTTTGTTTTCTTGATTTTTTAAATGTGTCTATTACAGGGTGTTTTCCTTTGTGTTTAGCGTGAGGCTTACAAAAACATAATCACGACAGTTTATTTTACTGATAACATAACTTTGGTCACAAAATACAAACACTCTACCATTTAACTCCACCCCCGGATTTTGAGTTTTCTATTTTACACTTTACAACTTTTTAATATTTCATATCCCTTAACAAACCATTGTACTTATTTTATTTTTAAACTTTAAAACAGTTCTTTAACAGTTACATGAAAGATATAAGTGATCTGGACACCACCGTCACCTTATTAGAGTATTCTGAATTTGTGTAGTTACTTTTACTAGTGAGTTTTACACCTTCAGATGCTTTTGCATTACTCATTAGCATCCCTTATGTCAGCTAGAAGAACTCTCCTTAGCGTTTCTTGTAAGACAGTTGTGGTGGTGAGGAAGTTTCTCAGCTGTGATTTCTCTGTAGAAGTCTTTATCTCTCCTTCACTTCCGGGTACATTATTCTTGGTTAGAGATTTTTTTTTTCCCCTCAGCTCTTTGAATATGTCATCCCACTCTCTCCCGGCCTGTTACGCTTGTGCTGAGAAGCCTTCTGGTATATTGGAGGCATATTGGAACTGCCTTGTATGTGATTCGCTCCTTTCCTCTTGCTGCTCTCGGGGTTCTTTCTTTCTCTTTCGTCTTTGACAGTTTGATTACAATCGGTCTTTTGTTTGTTTGTTTGTTTTGTTTTAAGACGGAGTTTCGCTCCTGTTGCCCAGGCTGGAGTGCAATGGCGCGATCTCGGCTCACCGCAGTCTCCACCTCCCGGGTTCAAGCGATTCTCCTGCCTCAGCCCCCCGAGTAGCTGCGATTACACACATGTGCCACCACGCCCGGCTAATTTTGTACTTTTAGTAGAGACGGGGTTTCTCCATGTTGGTCAGGCTGGTCTCGAACTCCTGACCTCGGGTGACCCGCTCACCTCGGCCTCCCAAAGTTCTGGGATGACAGGCGTGAGCCACCGCGCCCAGCCCCAGTATGTCATGGGGTAATCTTATTTGAATTGTATCTGAATGCAGAACTTTGGTCTTCCAGTACCTAGATGTTTGTAACTTTCTCTGGGTTTGGATGGCTCTCCATTATTGTCTTTTAAATAGTCTTTCTACCTCTTTATCAATCTCTCCTCCCTCTTGAATGTGAATGACTCATACTATTGCTCTTTTGATATTGTCCCAGAAATCCAGTGAGTTTCTTTTTTCATTCCATGTCCTTCCTTTTACTTTTGTCTCCTCTGACTGTATATTTTCAATGAACCGTCTCCAAGTTTACAGATTCTTTATTTTGCTCAATCAGTTGTCCTGTCGATGTTCTCTATCGTGTACTTCCTTCATTGTATTTTTCGACCTCAGAATTTGTTTGTTTTTTTTTAATTCTTTCAATCTTTCTCTCAAATTACCCTGGTCAATTCTGAATCATTTCTCTGTAATTGTTTTCGAGGTTCACAGAGCATGCTGAAAATAGATATTTTGAATTATTTGTTAAACAACTCATACATTCCTATCTCTCTAGGGTCAATTACTGGTGCCTTGTTTTGTCAGTTTGGTGATGTCATGGTTTCCTGATTGTTCTTGATCTTTGTGGTCATGTGTTTATATCTGCATATTGAAGAAGTAGGTATTTATTTCAGTCTTTGCAGTCTAGCTTTCTGGGGACATCCTTTAATACTAAGCCTATCCAAAAACTCTATATAGGTCTCTTTTGGTCCTTATGCTCGTGAGCACTGCAGCTACTGAAGCACTAGGGGGCTTCCTAATCCCAGGGACACAGCGACAGATGCTGCAACGGCGTGCACTCCCTTAGCTATTGAGGCTGGTGCCTTGCGAGACTGGAATCCTAGCCTCTATTCACTGAGGACTCCCTGTTGCTGTAGACTGTTGTGAGCATAAGGCCACTGGAATCACTCGGCAGAGATGTGGGCCAGGTATTGAGTTTGTTTTGCTGTGGCGGTGGCTTCCTGTCTGGTGCCAGGGTGGGTCTAGAGACTTGGTCCATAAGTACCATCTCGGAGTCAGGGGCCATGGACGTCTGTCAAGTGACGGCGTATGGTGTGACAGGCCTGATACTGGGTTCCCAGGCAATGTCCTATGCCTGCTACTCTCTCTCTTCTCCGGGTGGATGGTATCTCTCTCCATGCTGTGCTGTGGAAGGTTGGGGAAGGGGTGATAGGGGTAATGTAAAACTTTCCCTACTGCCCTCTTCAATGCATCTTTTCTTATTATCATGCTATAGCTGGGTACCGTGGTCTCTCACCTGGTTTCCTTCTCTCAAGTGAAGGTGTTTTCATACAAGGATAGTCTTTCACATTGATGTTTCTGCAGGAGGACGATCTCTGGAGAGTCCCGTTTCTCCATGTTGCTCCCCTCCTCCTCCATCCGTTTAATTTTTACATACTATAAATATGTCCATTTTGTCCATACGGCCTCCTGGTTAGGGAAGTATCCTTAGGCTAATTGTAATACGTAATTTACACAAGTATTCGCTTAGATTTTCTTCTGAAAGTCATTCATTTATCTACATCCAAACATAACAGTCAGCCTGGGTTTGCTTTCTGGGTGTGGGACTCAGAGAAGGCTCCGCGTCTTGTTTCACTACTGGCTACTCAGTTGTCCCTCCACATTAATTGGATAATCCACTTTGCCCCTACTGCATTGAAACGCCGCTTCTGTCACACAACGCGTCATCGCACACATTTGAATCTATCTGTGCCTGCTGTTGTGTTGGTGATATTTGCAAGGCATAAGAGACAGAGTTGGGATCCATGAAACTTGGGCAAAGCTTTAGTCTGCAGTATGTCTGTGAGTTGGTGTGAATGGAGTCAAGGAACAGAGAGGTCCGAGGGTGCTGTGGATCATCCACTTGGATACTGACAGAAGTGGTGGTTGATACGTGGACGGGAGGCTGGTGCCTCATTCCTTCATGACAGCAAGTGAGGGGAAAATGGGGAAAATAAACATCAGATTGGTATTGACAGCTGGAAAGACGCCAGTTCAGAAATGAGAATAGCAACAAACTAGGCTGTTTTTAGAACCATGAAAAATTATTTACAACTTAGTGGCTCAAGTTTCCATCAGAAGTCTTTGAACAACAAATTTCAACCCTAGGAGTCTATCCTATAGTTAAGTCAGGCAAGTAGTCCAAATGTTAGGACACAAGCGAAATATCTAATTATGTGGAATTGGGTTAGGAAATTACGGCACATCCATTATTTGGGATTCCCTATGACTCTTTCTGTCCTCCCTTGTTATTTAAAAGCTTTTGAGTTCATTTAATGTGATCCTTTAATACCGAATGCAATGCTAATTTGCTTTTATAACAGGCATATATGTGTGTGTGTGTGTGTGTGTGTGTGTGTGTGTGTGTGTGTGTGTATGTGTGTGTGTGTGTATATATATATGTATATGTGCACAGACAAAAACATCACGATCGATGTTACTCCCAAAATATAGTTCCAAGAGACCACCAGGAATACGGATTGTGGGATAACCGCCTTTTGCTGTCTGCTTATCTGGGTTTGTTTTTCTACTTTTAGTATAATGAACTTGCATTATTTGTAAGTTTTAAGGATTATAAAATGAGGACTATTACACTTTCAATAAGGAAAAAGGTTGTATGCCTCTCTATTGTAGATAAATTGAAACCCTAATTTGACTTGGATTTTTGAACCTTTCCCAGTTGAGGTTATTGTTCCAACTTTATTTCGTGCTTCTGTCTCCTGGACCTGGATCTTGAAGTTAGGGTTTTGCTCCCTAGGCTCCTAACTTGTGTCGCTTTTCCTGTCTGTCTCCCTGCTCCTCTACCCGTTTACCAGGTTACACCTCTGTCTTCTTTCACAACCCAGCACACATCTGACTTCCCCCAAGCAAATGTCCCTACTTCCTCCCTGTCTGAAATGTTCTCCCTCTAGATAATTCACAAATCCATCTTTGAACTAGTTTTACATCCTTCATTGCAACCTGCTTATGACTAGATATCGGTCTGCTTTACCGTCATTTCACTGTGAATTCCTACAGGCGAAGGATGGTATGTTTCTAATCTTGTGTTCTCATGGTACAAGGGCGTTAAACTTGGGTACGCAATCAATGTTTTGGGATACATTTCACAATTCATGAAGCACACACATGATTTTCACCACCATCTCAAGTCTATGGTCCATTTACCACGTGAAATATACTCATCAGTGTTTAAGATGGTTGTCGAAAATATTTTTGGATACCGGTGTTTTAATCATGTAAGTTCCCGTGTTTAAATTTGTATTATTTTTGAAGTAACTCTTTCCTAAATCTTACAGGTGGACATTGTGCCTTACGATGCTGGACCCTTAGACGCAGGAACCAAACTTTTAGTTGGATGTGTCACTTCTATAAGTGAGGATACTGTTTATATTAGTGACGACATTTATTTCTCCCTAGACATTATTTCTGAAGGTATGATTTACGTTTTGAGATACATGATGCGATTCTTAATTTTTTGAGAGGATTTTAGTCCTAGAACAACTTTTACAGTGTACTTGGCTTCAGTCAACGGCTCTTCAATATTAGAGGTAGACCCTTCCAATTGAAATTATGTACAATACAGGGCAAATAGGCAGGATTATAAACTATCGGCTGCCGTCTATTGCGTGTTCATCTGTTCAATGCCCTCAGTATGTCTGGATATAATTTTTATTCACATAAGAATTTAATTTCTAATCAAGAACACAATCCTGCAAGTACACAGAGACACTATTTTTAATACCCTTACAAGACTATACTTGCAGGGATCATTTCTGTGGTTGGTTACTAGGGAAGTTTCTGTGACAGGATAGAGTACCAAATTTTAAAAGAATACACTTCAAATGCTTCAAACATAGAACTGGAGATAGCGCCCTGTGGCTGTGTGCATGTGTAGGTGGGGGCGGTGGGGAGTAGGGTGGAGTTGAACTTTCTCTGTAATCAGCAGATATGTTCTAATATTTAGCTTATACCAAAAGATACCCCTCCCCCCTTTTTTTTCTATTTTTGTCTATTGCAGCTGTCGTACAGCTTGGGCATAAAAAGCTGTCGTACAACCCAGGCAGCTTGCTAGTTTGTTTTCTTGGGTGCAAAAGCAGGACTCTGGCCTGAATGTTGTTTTAAGATGTTGACTCTGTCGAGAAGAGACTATGAGGGGAAGGATGGAGCCAGGAAATCAGTCAGGAAAGCGTTGTAACATTCCTGGTGAAAGATGTTGGGCATGTGAATGAAAGTATAGAAGTGGAGGACCTGAGGATTGAGTGGACTCTGGATATATTTTGAAGCTAGAGAAGAACGCAGGAGGTAATGGATTAGCTCTTTGGTGTGGAAGAAAGATGAGTCCAGGGTACCTCCCAAGTTTTTGGTTTGAGCAGTGGTGAGGGTGGAGTTGCCAGTTTGTGATGTAGATGACTGAGGCAAACAAAAGGTGGTGAATACGGAGAATACCAACAACTCAGCTTTATACACGTTAGATTGGTGTAAGTATATGGATAACTGAACGTGAGGTTGGTTAGAGCTGGAGGCATATACATTTTGGAGCTATCAGAACATAGATATATGGTAAACCCACACAAAGGCAATGTATCTAAATTAACAGATAGATAGAGAGAGAGAGGTCTAACACTGTGCTTGTGTCATTCTACAATGCTGAGTCCTAAGGTGAAGGAATGTTTCACTGTGTTGATATTGCTAGTTTTCTGGAGTCACTGTGGCAATTTACTGTGTCACTTGCAGTTGGGATTTCCATTTGCTCCAGATTCTTCCATTTACATTTGTTATCCTGTGACTCACTTTTAACTTGCTGTAAACTTCAGTTTGAAACTCCATGGTCTTAACTGTAACATGTAAGGCACATACTTAAGAGTTCATCAGCTGAGCAGAGCACCAGGGGAAATCGATCCGTTCTGAAAGTAACAACATTTCTTAGTGGTACTGCTACCACTGCTACAAATCAACAGTTATTTCGTGGTTACTCTGCAGCCAGCGATGATTCTGTGTGTATCACACATAGCAATTAATTCTCACTCACAATTAATTCAACTCTGCATCATCAAGGCTGTTTGTCGTCCTTCTCATTTTATAGTTGAAGAAAACGAGGCACAGAGAGATTAAGCACCTTGGCCAAGGTTGCAAACTGAGTGAGTGGCAGCGTCAAGACTCGGACACACGTAGCCAGGTTCAAACCTGTGCTCTTACCTACATGTTTGACTGCCTCTCACTAAGGAGATGTGAACGCCAACAGCTGTGCAGTAAATCCCATGCCGCACCCTTAGATTGGCTGTGATGCACGGTTCACACTTTCCTCCACTTGACTTTGTTATATCAGTAGAGGAGAATCAATGCCTAAGGATTATACACTTCTTTTCGGACTTGGAGATTGACAATGTGTCTGTTTAAATATGCACAAAATGGACTTTAGATCTAGCAGAACTGACTTAAAGTGTTACACTATCAAAGTAACGTGTGAAATACAACGTGGCTTAGTTAAGAGATCATGACACTCACATTTCTCCATGGCTGTTTTAGATTTTGTGCCTTATGAGGGCGACTGGTTAGACGTGCAATATTCCAGTGAGCCAGGCATCTCAAACATCAAGGCAATCTCTGCGAAGCCCACCCGTTGGGCTTGCGCGGAAGAGGTAATTTCTTTCCTGTTGCTCCCGTCATCAGTTTCTGCTAACCCTTCCTTTGGTGATAATTTTCGTGCCCAGGATTCTGTTGGGTGTAATGGGAATTCCAGAAAATAGGAAGAAATACATCCTTTGCCAACAAAGGAGCCACTTTTTTTAATTGAAAAGGCAGGACTTCCCAAAGGAAATAATTAGAAAATTATGTAGAGCAAGCACATGATTAAGTTCTAAATTGTGCATTTTACTTGACACCCAAATGTTATCAGAATCTTCCAACAACTGGTGGAAGAAAAAGAATCTTTGTGCCAGAAAACTGTAGGGAAAGAATGAACGGAGCGTGTTGCGGGACTTGAGCTTACCAGCAAATGCTGAGAATGATTTGGGTATCGGAGCCTGAACATGAGCAGGACATTCAGGGCAATAGAGGGTAATGGACATATTTTGGTCATATTTAGAGCAGGACTTCTCGTTAGAGACCCAGGCCTCATCCCGGGAGAGCCTGATTTCATTAGTCTGAGGTGGAGCGTGGGCATGGGTATTCCTACAAAACACCCCTGTTGTTAGCAGTGGGCCAACAAGGTTGGGAATCATCGATTTGCATCGAAGTGACCTTCACTCATGCAGGACCCACAGTGAGGAGGTGCACAGCTGGTTATAGTGATTATCAGGCTTTTTCATAATCATTTCTGTTATGTATACTCGCAGGTCTGCATTACTAGCATCCGTGGAAGAAACGGAGTGATAGATAATAATATCTTTTTCACCTTGGATTCTGTGAAACTTCCTCATGGATACCAGCCTCAACTATTTGATACCGTCAGCGTGGTCATGGTGGAGAGCACTCACTTCTGCTATGTCTGGAGAGCGGTTTCCATCATCCCAGCGCAAAAATCGTAATGACAAGCATTTTTATTCTCTGTTTATGTTTCCTCCTATGAGCAGTAAAGGTGCTGGTTTAACTGAAAAGTTTAGCTTAGTAAGCCTAAACAGGATTTTACGTATGACTTTTCTGGCAAATCTAGTGGAGATACTGGCTAGTTCAATGGGACCACGAACCCAGCTTAGGGAAGTGCCTTATCAATTAAGAAGCATGCTAAATTAGCTTGCTAGTCACTGGAGGAAAGGAGTTCTTAATTAACATGAACGCTGTCTCTAAATTTGAATTCCGTGTTTTCTAGTACCAGCCCCGGATCCCAGGATGACGGAGGCCTGGGATGGCCTGAAAGGAAGTGTCACAGTCAAAGCATTTAACTGACAAGGCAGCAGGGACAGCATGTTAAAGGCATGATTTGAAGTTACAATTTGACTTCACTTTTGAGTCACCCCTATGCTGTCTGTTTAATCTGTATTGTGCCGTAGCCTCTTTCATCTTCTGTCACCTACATAATTTGCGACGTTAATTGTTCCCTATGTTCCTTCTTCCCCTTGCTAGAATGTAAACTCCACAATGGCAGGATGCCTTTTGGTCTGCTTTTTTCTGTTTTGTTTTTGTTGTCTTTATTTATTTATTTATTTATTTGTTCGTTTATAGCATCACAAAGCACTTAGAAGAGTGCTTGGCAGGCTCAAGGTGCAGATAAAGTGTTATTAAGTTCAGTGACTGAATGATTGGACCGACAACGATGTTTAGCTGTGGTTCATTCATCACTGGTTCTTTAGGAATAAAACTGTTGAGCAACGCATTAAGTCCTCTGCTGATTTCTTTTAACAACACCAATAACCATAAAAAGCCGACTCTGCTGTACATGAGCCTCCGTGAGCCTCTTTGTTGCAGGGGTGCAGCTCATGTGCAGACATGAAGAAAGATACAAACACAGAGCCCCTTGAAGCGCAGAGAAGCTGCTTACCCACTGGGAAGGGTTATATAAAATCCCACAAGTACACCCCATGAAACTTCTTGCTTTCGTCTAGCAGAACATTTAGCCAGGTAGCTGTGACCTACGGAGACATTCAGATCTTTGGGCGTAGCTTGAATGTGGTTGTGAACTTGCACCGAGTCCTGTGATTCATAATTCCACCATTACCCCCAGTCCTTGAATAAACAGAGCTGTGTTTTCACTTTCCATTACAGATCCAGTGAGACCTCCCAATCATCCAGGGGTTTGTTTCCTGCTTGATAAGAAGAGTGAAGATCTTGTAGAGTTCCCATTTTCACTCGTTGGTTCACTCCACGAAATCCTACTGATTCTCTTTTATGTGCCAGGCACTGTTGAGGCTCCAGAGTTATAGCCTTAACCCAAAGGACAAAATTCCAGGCCCTAATGGAACTTGTGTTCTTTTAATGCCCCCACACCCCCCACCGTCCTCAGCTTCCTGACCCATGCAGCAGAGCTCCTGTGATAGAAAGGGGCAAGCGGGGGCTGTGGCAGCACCAGGTCCCTGTGAATGTCGTCATTTAAAAGCAGCTCCAGACCCCGTGGAATTACAGAGGAGTCCACGTTGGACTTGAGAGATGCATGGGCCATGACTTCCACTACCTCGCCATTTAATTCTCCAGTTTGGTTGATGTGGAAGAATGTTCTTTGGCAGTTATAATGCATTATGATAAGCCCGGTCAGGTGGTGATTCAGTCACAGCTGCTGTTTCACAAACTTCCTCGCTGGACTGAGGACCACCTGGGAGGCAGCAGTTCAGCAGGGTAGGGGGAGGGGATTAGATAAATTTCCTTTATCTTCTTTCAAATAGCAAAGCCCAGAACCACTTTGCTTTCATAAAGCAGACCAAGTGGCAGTACACTTTGAATATTTTGCCTCAAGGATTTGTTAACTCCAAGGCTCTTTCCCACAATTCAGAATGAACAGTCCTCGATCACCTCGCCCTCGTCGCACGTGTGTCTCTTAAATGGGTGACCTCACGGCACAAGGACAGAAGGACTCAGGGAGCCGGAAATAGTGGTCTCGGTCGGAAATGTGCTTTTTCCCCATGGGAAAGAATTAGCTGGAAAATACAGGGACCTGTCACCACGAGTTTCTGGGGCTCCAGTGTTCTGCCATGGAGCTTCCAGCTGGCACGCTGTGAAAGCGTTGCAGATGTGCTGATATCAGATGCCTCTCAGCTCTCTTAGGGACACATGCTATGAAGAAAATGAAATAAGATCATGATTTTTACCCGGGTTTGGCAAACTATGGCCCTCGTGCCAGTTCTGGCCTGACGCCTGCAATGGTTCTCCAATCGTAAAGTTCTATTTAGGCACCCGGAACCTAATGAGGGCCCGATATATTGATCCTAGTGTTCTTGCCACCATGATTACACCTACTGTTAATAAAAGAGGCACCTGGAGGTCTCTCATTGTGACCGTGGTTTCATCCTCTGACCATTCATAGCTTTCATGGGTTCTGGTCGTCATTTCACTCCTCTTGTGGGATGCATAAAGCTTGAAGCATACATCTGCCAGTGGGATATGCTCTGTGAATGTAACCAACTCCTCTTCGTTATGCTTAGTGTGCGGTTCTCTGTTTTGTCAAAATTCCAGATTCTACCTAATCAGCCATATGTACAAGGATCTCTGTTCCCTTGGTGTTGGAGAAGAATACAGTGTTTCGAATTGAAGCTTTTGTATCTCTTGGCAAACTTGAGGTTGCACGTGTACCTCCAGTACCAGCCCAGGAATATGGAGTTTAGTCTATGCTTTCCTCCCTTTCCACCTTTCCACGTGTGTGTTTCTTTCTCAGCTTTGGAGAACCCTACCTTCCATTATCCTCTGTGTATTTACTTATTTGCACAATCCTGCTGTATGTGCTCTCCTACTGTGGGCAGCTTTCCATCTGTACTCTAACTCCCTCTTCTCACGGACCCTGGCTTGCAGGACGCCTCCTTGGAACCATTTGTTTGGCGGGCTCCCTGCCTGCCTTCCTAAGCTTGGGTGCCCTGCTCTCCAGGGAAGGGAGGGCTAGAGAAAAAGGTTCTCTGTTGCCTTTGGAACTCCTCACAGAACTGACTTTTATCCGCTGCTTCATCATAATAGTCACCCAAGACAGCCTGGGTCGAGTGCTTCGTAAGTTTCTTTGCAGAGCTGCTGGCCTGGCCAGAAGAGTGAAGTGTTGGGCTTGGTTAAGGGCTGTTAGTCCAAACTTCCACAACTGAGGACTCCGATCAGTTAGCACTCATGTTGGTTTCATAAGGGGGAGGAAGAGAGTTCACCCTGCTGGGGCAACCTCATCCTACAGCGGTTTTGCTTCCCGAGAGCATTGTCCCAGTTAACCCTAAATGATGTGGATTAGAAACTTCATTGCCCAGATCCTCTGGATAGTTGAAGGACTACTGTATACACAAAGGGTGAAAAGCATAATCTTATCATTGAAGTGTTATTGAAAGGTAACTAAAGGTGGCTGGGTGCCGTGGCTCATGCCTGTAATCCCAGCACTTTGGAAGGCCAAGGCAGGCAGATCACCTGAGGTCAAGAGTTGGAGACCAGCCCGGCCAACATGGTGAAACCTCGTCTCTACTAAAAATAGGAAAAAACAAATTAGCCGGACCTGGTGGCGTGCGCCTGTAGTCCCAGCTACTCGGGGAGGCTGAGGCAGGAGACTTGTTTGAACCCAGGAGGCGGAGGTTGCAGTGAGCCAAGATCAGGCCACTGCAATCCAGCCTAGGTGACAGAGGGAGGCTCCATCTCAACAACAACAACAACAAAGGAAACAAAAGGCGCAAGTTATTTGGACAGCATAAAGAACATGCCTCACAGCGGTTAAGGGACTGGACATGTGTTCCCTTAAATTCCTTTGTTGAAGCCGTAATCCCCAATGTGATCGTATATGGAGGTGGGGCCTTTGAGAGGCTATTAGGCTTAGATGGGGTCATGAGAGTGGAGCCCCACAGTGGGATTAGTATCCTTAGAAGAAGAAGAAGAGGAAGAAGAAGAAAGAAGAAGAAGAGGAAGAAGAAAAGGAAGAAGAAGGAGGAGGAGGAGGAGAAGGAGGAGAAGGAGGAGGAGGAGAAGGAGAAGGAGAAGGAGAAGGAGAAGGAGAAGGAGAAGGAGAAGGAAGGAGGAGAAGAAGAAGTAGTGGTGGAGACAGCATTTGCTCCCACTCCTCCATGGGAGGAAACAGCCAGAGGGTGACCATCTTCAAGTCAGAAAGGGGGCCCTCACCCGGAACCGAATCAGTCAGCACCTGATTCTTGGCCTGCCAGCCTCCAGAACTGTGCGATATAAATGTCCGTGGCATTTTGCTATAGCCGACCAAGCTAAGACAACAGAGAGCTGACGTTGACATTCTGTGACAAATAAAAGCAATCCATACCCTCACTGAGTTTTGAAAAACAGAGATATGAATTGGGAAAACTCCCATCCCATGAGAATACCAAAATTGCCTTGGATGGGAATTTTCCCCATCCATTATATCATAATGAATAATATACTTCTTGGTACATGCCAACTAAAGCCTTGTCACTCTACTCTTATAGAAATGCTTTTCTGACCGCTAGTCCGATACCTGATTTCCAGTGTAGCTTTTGTAATTGAAAGAGTACCATTTTACTCCATGATGCAGCTCATGTACACAAGGGAGGCTGAGTCACTGACATGCAAGAAAACCCAATTTACTGGCCGATTTTACTTACGGGTTGTTGCTGTTGTCAGACTCCTGAGGGCAGGTTGTAAAGCCAGGAAAAAGCCGAGTTGAACCAGGATCTATTGTCTTCCGACCGACAACTCTTAACGTTTACAGTCAGCTGTAGCATTATCATGAATGAGGCCAAATACCGATTAGATAGATGCACGTGGGAAAGCAAAACGTTCAGATTTGGTGTGACATGCCTTAAAACCAGATCCTCTCACAGGCTGCCTGGAACTGTTCAGGTTGTCACCCTTTTCTGATTCAATTAATTGCTGCGGTACTTATTGAGAACGTACCACGTGCCCAGCACTGTCCTAGACACTGAGGGCCCAGCAGACAGAAAAAAGCAACAACGAACAAAAGCTCTGCATTCATGAAGCTGACATACAAGTGGGAAGAGACAGACAACGCTCTGATAAGCACATCACTACGTGAGAATTTCCGTGTAGCAGTTAGTGACATAGAAAAAAGTAAGCAGGTGTTCGTGATAGGAAGCTTTTGATGGCAGTGACCACGGACAGGTTGTTTTCAATATTTTCAGTCGGAGTCAGTCTCCCCGATTTGAGGGTGAAACAAGCAGGTCATTTGAAGCAAAGAAGGCGAATTACGTGTTTATATCTTTGCTGGAATCTGGCACTGAATGGTTGCTTCATGGATACTTGTGAATGTGTGCATTTTGTTCATGGGAGGCAGTTGAAACGTGAGAAGGTTTAACGGGGCGCATGGCATCCCTGTTCAGAACTGCTGGTACTCTACTTTGTGTTGAGCGCTTGCATATGCCAAGCACTGGGTTAAGGGCCTTGGGACACACACGTCATTTAATGCTCACAAAGAATCCTATGAAAGAAGTCCCAGTAGCGCCGTGTCCATTCTACAGCCAAGTCAGGGACACAAACAGGAAAGAGAGGGCGCACGGCTGATCTGTGGCTCAGCGGAATTCATCCCCCGACATTCAGGTCCAGCAGCCGTTTCTTATCTGATGTGTTCCTGGCCTCCGAAGGCACCTCCTGCCGCAAGAGATCATTCACAACGTCTTCGGGGGTGTGGTAGAGAAAGCCCCTTCCTTGTTCTGCAGTGTGCTCTCAGCAGGGACTTGCTTTCCTGGTGCTGGAATGTACGTGTAGCTT